GTCAAACAGAATTTTGATTGCCTGGGTAGTATTTAATATTTCAGCATTAATTTGGAAATTTTGTTTTAAATTCAGCATTATTCTCATGGGAAATGTTACTAAATATTTTTAGTAGATGTGCTGCTGAAGTGAGCACTACTAAATATTTTAATATCATTTCTAATTTTATTTTTAAAGTTTTATTTTATCACATCAGGAAGGAGTTTTTATGTTGAAGATAACTTAAGGAAACATCATCGTTTTTTAAAGAATAAAAGTCTCCCCATAATTTAAATCACCGGGTAGTACTCTATTACAAAGTCTTCACTGGCAAAGTATTTGTTGGGATGGGTTTAATAATTCACATTTACTCTGTTTCTCATGAGTAATGTGGTCACTTTAAATGAATGCTAATAAAACTGGTGCAATACATCATCACAGCTATATACATGTGTCAAGGATAACACACATACACATACAACAAGCATAAACCTGGTAAGTATGACTGAGAGTTTTACCAAATCCTTTGAAGAATTCAAACATAACCCATAATATTAAAAAACAGAGCATTAAGGTAGCAGAGCATTAATGTATGACACCAGGGAAAATGACCCCATAGAAAATCATTCCAGACTCTCAGAACCTATGTTAGCCTCATCCTTCCTTGAACATCTTAGACCAATTCTAGCAAAAACAATGTTCTTGCAATAGCAAGTATTCACAAATATTACCCTCAGCAGCTTTTAGGCACACTATATTGTCAGTACAACTCAATGTCAGCCTGGCTAGAACAACAGTTAGAGTTACTGTGATGAAGACAAAGAGGCAATAAAATTTCACAGGCAATAAAATGTCAGAATTTCAAGTTTTGTCAATTAAGAACATTCCATACAGCTATTTGCATAAAGGAGAAAGCTAATTAGAAAAGAAGACTACACTAGAAATGCCTCATGAGAACAAGAGATGGGGCTGATATTCTTGCAAAGAGATCCTGAATATAACGTTTAAAAAGGTCCAGGACAAGTCAAGTTCCAATTTTACCTTTAAACACTGATAGCAAGTAAGAAAATATAAGGGGAGAATAAACCCACACTTTAAAATCTATCAACAAGACTTTTTTTCTAGATCACAGTCATGATAGGCTGTCTCATACTAATGTTCAAACAAGAGTAGATAATCAGATGCACTTTTAAAATGTCAGCGAGGAGTATACTGGTATACCTCCTAAATCAAAAAGTTTCCAGAAAGCTTTATGTATTTTATATAAAGTTGTGCTTATAAACAAGAGAGACTTTTGTGCTTCTCTAGAGATTAAAATGCATTACTTTCACAAATATATATTCAATGTTTTAAAATCCAGTATGGTCAGTCCACAGAATGAGAACAAATATTCACAAATCATATTAAAACAATGTACATATATATAAGATTTGTATATAATACATAAAATATATAAGGCACTCCAGTAGTAAAAACAAAATAACTGATCTGTATGGACTTACTAGGACAGAAATTCCCATCCCCAAAGAAATGCATATTCTTCTCAAGTGCACATGGAACAGTCTCAAAGAGAGATTGTATGTGAGAACATAAACAAATCTTAATAAATAAATGAAGATTGAAATCATATCAAGCATTTTTCAGATTACAAACGTATACTAGAAATCAATGCCAAAAAGAAAACTGGTAAAAACCTAAATATGTGGAGACTAGACAAAATGCTTTTGAATAGCTTGAGTCAATGAAGAAATCAAAGGAGGTATAAAAATTATCTGAAGACCAAGAAAATCAGGAGGTGAGCTATCAGATCCTACAGGATACAGCAAAAGCAGAATTAAGAGGGAAGTTCATAGCAATACAAGCCCACATCAATAAACAGTCTCACATCTGAAGGCACCAGGAAAAAAAACAAATGAAACCAAAACTCAGTAGAAGAAAGGAAAAATTAAAAATTAGAGAAGAAATCAAGTAGAAATTAAAAAAAAAACAAAAAAGATTAATGAAACCGAGTGCTGATTCTTTGACAGAACAAAATTTATAAAACCCTTACACAGACTAAGACTAAAAGAGAAAACCCTAATTCAAAGAATCAGAAATGAAAGTTAAAGTTACAGTAGATACTGCAGAAATACAAAAGATCACAGGAGATTACAATGAATATACATACATATACAAACAAATTGAAAAACCTAAAACAAATGGACAAATTTTAGACTCATGCAACCATCCAAGACTGATGCAGGTTGAAACAGATAGGTAGATGACAAGTACAGAAATCAAAGAGGAATCAAAAGTTTCCCTAAGGACAAAGTCCAAGACCAGATGCCTTCACTAGTAAAGTCCACCAAACTTTCAAAGATGATCCAATATCTATCTTTTCAAATTCTTCTAAGTTGGAAAAGGAGGGTAGAAAACTTCCAAACACTGTTCGATGGGCAACATTATCCAGATCCCAACAACAGTCAAACACAATATAAAAAAACACACAAAGACTGATATCTCCGATGAACACAGATGCAAAAATCATCAACAAATCTTGGCAAATCAAATCCAGTAATACATTAAGAGGAGAGGGTCATACATCATAACAAAGTGGGATTCTGTTCAGGGATTCAAGGATGGTTCAAACATATGAAAATCAATGTAATTCACCACATCACAAAATATAAAGTAAAAACGACAATTTTACCAACAGATGTTGAAAAAGCATTTGACAAAATTTCAAAACCCTTTATGATTAAAAACTCCTGATAAAACTGGGAATAGAAAGAACATACTTCAACATGACAAAGGTTATATATGACAGTGTAAAGGAATATTGCTGGTAACATGTAAAAAATTAAATAATCATTATTTAACATCATACATAAAAATTCAAAATGGATTAATAAAGACGTGGCTACAAGACCTGAAACCATAAAATACATAGAAGAAAACACAGGCAAGGAAAACAAAAGCCAAAAATAAACAAATGGAACCACAACAAACTAAAAAGCTTTTTTGTACAGCAAAAGAAACCACTACAAAACATGAAGGTAACTATGGATTAGAAGATTATTTGCACATCATAGGTCTCAACTTCTAAAATATAAAAAGAACTCATATAACCAGACAACAAAAACAACCCAATAAAAATAATGGGCAAAAGATGTGAGTAGAAACTTCCCCAAAATAAGACACACAGCTGGCCAGAGGTACATGAAAAAATGATCAACATTACTTAATGAAATAGAAATCAAAACCACAGTGAGAGTTATCACTTCATACCTGTGAGAGTAACCTATATCAAAAAGACCAGAAACAACAGTGTTTGCAAGGATAAGGAGAAAAAGAAACTCTTATGCACTGATGGTAGGAATATAAACTGGTGTAGCCTCTGTGACAAAAAGTATGGAGCGATCTTAAAAAACAAAATGGAAATATCAAATGATTCAGCAATACCATTCCTAAATACTAATCCAAGAATACAAAAACACTGATTCAAAAAGATTTATGATTCCTTATGTTTATAGCAGTGTAGCTAAAAGATGGAAACAACCTAAATATCATCAACAGATGACTGGATAAAGAAGTTGTGGTGTATGTACACTCAATGCAATACTACTCAGCTATATGAAAAAAGATGAAACCTTGCCTTTTGCAGTAACATGGATGGAACCTGAGATTATTATGCTAAAGTGAAATAAGTCAGAAAGTGAAAGACAATTATTGGATGATTTCACTCACATGTGGAATAGAAGTAATCAAAGCAACAAACTGGTAAAATACAACAAAACAACTCAGGCATGTGAAACATATGCAGTTAACAGAAAGAAGGGAATGGAAGGGAAGGGGGAGAAATGGGTAGAGGTCAATTTGCTAGAGTGATTGGCACTAGAACTTTGGTTGTGGGTGAGTGAAGCATATACACATATCAAGGTCTGAAAGTGTATTCCTAAAATTACAGTATTGAAAATGAATGTTGAATTAATAAAATCTGATTAAAAAATTTTAAAAATGGGCAAAAGATCTTAATAAACATTTCACCAGGAAAGCTATATAACTAGCTAAAAAGGACTTAAAAGATATTCATTATCAGTGTTATCAGGGAAATACAAGTCAAAGCCACAATGAAATACTCACCAGGATAGCAATGAAAAAGAGAATTTATAGGAAGTAGTAATAGAGGAGATGCAGAAGAATCCTAACCCTTGTACATGCTGATGGGAATGCAAATGCTACAGCTGCTTTGGAAAACATTTGGCAGTTTCTCAAAGGGGTTAAATAGCAGCTTTATTCCTAGGTATATGTCAAGATAAATAAAAACCTATGTCTACACAAAAAGTTGAATGTTAATGTTCATAGTAGCATTTAATAACAGCTTCAAAGAGGAAAGAACCCAAATGTTCATCAACTGATGAATGCATAAAATGTGTTATGACCACACAATGGAGTTAACATTCAGCAAAAATACTAAAATGAAGCAAACACAGATGGATTTTTAAAATGTGCTATCTTAAAAAAAACTGTCAGAATCACGTATTTTATGATTCCATTTATATAAAACGTTCAGAAATGGCAAATTTATAGAGATAGAAAGTAGGCTGACGGTTGCTTGGGGCTGGGGATGGTTGGTGGGAAGTTCTATAAGGTGAATCTTTGAGCCTAGCCAATTTTTGCAAAATGCTACTGCTTTAGGATTTTTACATACTTTCTTTGGGCAGGGAAACTCAACAATTGTCAGAAAGCTCTGAATTTTACAGTACAAAAAATTTTTGAAAAGAAATCCTGATGTCATCCTAACTTTTTGTCTTAATAGTATATGGATGCCTGTAGTCACACTGTGATCCTATGAAAAGACCAAGTCTAACTTCTATTAGTGCCATCTCAAATTACAGGCCACACAGCACAATAGTGCAAAAATAAAAGTTATCTGTAGAATCAGAAAAATGTCAGTCTTGTACTGACAAAGTACAAAGATAAAAATCAAACAACAAATCTTAAATTTTGAAAATTATATTTTTTCTGATGGTTTTTGTTACCTCCTCTTTTAATGCATGTTTCCTCTGTTCCAAACATATCTCTTTGGCTCTCATCATTTGTAGAGTCTCCTTAGAAACAGCATACTGGAGTTTTTCCATACGTTCAGCAGCTGCTGCCCATGATGCTTTACCAAATTTCTTCTGATCTGCTCTCATTCGATCATACACAGCTATTAATAAATTTTTAAGAGACATTAAGACATAAAACAATTTGATATTATGTAATTTTAAAAGCTTAGATTTTATTAACACTCAAAGATAAACACATAAATCTTATCCCCATGAGAACTTACCTATAACAATTCTAAACTATAATTCAGTAATCTTAGATTACCTCTAATGTCTTCACTTAGAAGAGCAAATCATCGTTCTCAGAAAAATCTTTCTGAAGATGGAACTCAGTTGTCAGATGGGTATCAAGTTTTTAAAAAAATCCTTCACATGACCAGTGTTATCAAATCTCAAAGTTCCTACAAAAAATTTATTCTGTGACAGTTTATATTTTTCCCTGGGTATATTAGTAGAAATCAAAGACATAGCTATTAAGATTATTACAATTATCTAAATCCATGCACTAAAATTGTTATTTTAAATGTTCCAAAAAATACTGTAATAATCTGATATAGGAAGAAATAAATCCTATATAATGATTAGCACAGCTCTTATTCTGAGGTTAATGTTGGAGTAGTAAAACAAATCTAAACAAGACACCCACCCACAGCCTTTAAAAACAGGGGAAGGAAGGAAAATTTTAATTTGCTACAATGTAGCCCTAATTTAAAAGGTACTTCTTGGCAATTAAAAAGCTACTATGTTCCAGCTAATGAAGTTTATTACTGATAATAGTATGGTAATAGCTTATTCTAGGCCCTTGTATCACCAACCCAACCACACTATGTCCAAGGACTTTAAGCGAGCAGAGACACACTTAAAAGAAGTAGGCAATTTTAATCTTTAAGTCAATACAAATTCACTAATGGTTTCTTCTATATATTCAGAGGTAGTGACTGTGATAAGTAATTTTATACTGCTACTATGTCCTAACTATTTTTTGCAAGGAAGTATATCTCAGTAAACTTTTCCTCAGAATTTTATGAAATCTTCATTTTATAATTCATGTAGATATTAAAAGTACAGACAGGCTCATGAAAAATAGCAGTTTTCTTAATATCAGCTTCTCCTAGGCTTAGTTCTCAATGCTCAAATGCTTTTAGTCACTTCTGGTGGTTACCTCTATTCAGAAATATTACTATTTCTTGATTTTCAGTCTTTAAAAATAAATTCTCTATGATAATTCCCATTGTGACTGATGAGGAATTTTCTTTCTTAGAATCTTCTTCCAACAGTAATATTTCTTTTGGTTTCTCTGTGGCCTTTAAAATCTAAAATATAGGGAGGTAATGTTTTCAGTTCGTAATCTTGCTCTGAATGTCAATTTTAGGGTTTCTAATAAATAAAATCGAATAATGTTGGTTGAATATAACAAGAATATCAATGAATATAAGGAGCTCAATGGAAAACACCAGAAAAAAATAGGTGAAATACATTAATTAGAAGAAAAGGACATGCAAATACCAAATATGACATGAAAACAAACCAAAAAATGATCAAAACCAGTAATAACCAAAGAAAAGCAACTTTTAAAAAGATGATCCTACTTTTTACATGTCTTTGGTCACTTTTTTTTTTTTTTTTAAAGATTTATTTATTTATTTATACAAGCACAGGGTACAGTCAGAAACACGGGAGGGTGAGAAAATTCACCAGAGCCAGAGCGGGGAGCAGAGCAGGCAGAAGGACTGAAGTACACTGCTAAGGGGAGCAGCGGGCGGCAGGAGAGGTCTGTGCGCCATGTGGGACCCTCCTCCGGTGGCCGGGGAGCAGTCAGGAATCGAACCAGCGCTGCAGAGGTTGCGGGCAGCTTCGCGACCCAGCGCTCAACTGCTGCACCACAGGGGAGGCCCTGATAGCAGTGATTTTTAAACTGCCTATCAAGGAGTCTTGGAAGGATGTCTGTGGCTACCTATGGAAGGGAGTTGGAAGGAATGGGCCTTCAAAGACTTTGCCCTGTTTGTTCATTTGACTTGTCCTGATTTGTATATATCCTTTATAAACTGCAATCATTTAAGTATGTGCTTTTGTGAGCTCTGACAGTTATTGTTGCAAATCATGAAATCAAAGGTTAGCTGTGAGAATCCCCAAATTTGTATTGAGTTGGTTAGTAGCATCTAACACAAGGGTAATTTTGTTGGCTACGGAAGCTATAGCAGTTATCATCCATCATAATAATCCACTATTTTTTTTTAGTGTGGGGTACATGGAAACATATTTCCAGAAAAGATTGAAAGCACATAACCTTAATTTGTTAATAATGGTCTTTATCTTTAACTGCTAAGATGATGAGCAGCATTCATGTATTTTTCTATATAACCATTGTGAACATAAAGAATCACTCATTTCAAAAATACCTAACAAGGGTAATTTTGCTTGGAAACCTACCTTTTTGAGCTTTAGCAGTTATTTCAAAATATTTGACAGTAAGATCTTGGATAGATAGCACAGCCATGTGAGCTTTCCGTTGCCAATCAGCATCTTCTTTTTGAAGACTTTCAATTCTTCGGGGACCCAGATAATCATTCTCCATGGAAATCTTTAGAAAGAAGAAAGAAAATTTCTTTTATTCATTCCTTAAGCATTTGCTGAATGCTTATATATCGGCCATTGTGCTTGGTGTGAAATGGATAAATACTTGGCTTTTGCTGCTCTGGAGTAGAAGCATCTTACAAAACAAAATTAATAGTAATGTTGATGATATATGACATAGAAATGGGTTCCTCCTTCCTCTACCTACCTTCTTCTCTTTCATCCTTCCCTCCTCCACATACAAAGGATATATAGCAAAATGTTAACACTGATTATTTTAGGGAGATCATGAAAAATGCATTTCCTCTTATAGCTGTGTTTTCAGGTTCAGAATTATTTGTGCCAATATTTAATAACTGACAAAAAATAATTAAAAACTCAGATTTTAAGATTTATCATAATAAATACCAGCACATTTATTTACTTAAAGATTCTGATCTAAAAATTCCTAAGAAAAATCAACCGTGCATTATTTACAAGTCACAACTAAAATGAAAGTAAAGTTGAAAATCAAATGATAAACAAGGATATACCAGGAGAATGTAAAAATGAAATTCACATAAGTGACAATATAAAAGTATATAAAGGCACTACACAGGTATATTAACATGGGAAAAAAAGTGCATTCAAACAATAGCCATGACCATTTCTATACTCCATCTTGCTTTACCATTCATGAGAAAAGACTTAAAAATTAAAGATGTTAAGACCATATTATGAGAAAAAGAAAAATGTTGATCCTCCAGTGTCACACCTTAAAAAGTGACCAAGGACTATAAGTAACTCCAAAGATTTTATAATAAATAGCTACTATTGATTTCTACCCAAAGGTCCAAAGAATGCAGATTTTCTTGTTCTTCATTTAGCGCATTGCCGAGTATGACCTAGGCAATCTAAAATATTTCCTGAATGAATAAAATGCTTCTATACATGTTTTTAATGACAAATATAGAGATGATAAATGTCAAGACATTCAACTGTGAGAGTGACTAGAGAAAAAATGTGGAGCTAAAAGATTAGTTTTCCAGGTAGTCCCTTTGTTTTTTGCTATATTTAAATGGGTAATGGTAGAACAAATTGCGTGGTAATAAGAAGCACCCAGCAAAGAGAGGATCTATAGATGTAGTAAAGAGATGGCACAAATTAAAGTAAGGTGGTCCTTGATTAGAACACAGGAAGTGAGTACTGTTGCAGTGATTTGTAGTGTTTCTTAGTAAACTGAGGGAGACAAGTCCCCTAATGGGAAAGGCAGGTTTTGGTTTTGATCTCCACTTGTACTTGTTGCCTATGTGAAGAAAAAGACTCTGATTCTTTTTGTTCTAAACTTTTTCTGGATCAGCCAGGAAGAATGATGCTTAGAGAAAAAGTCAATTCATAGCCCTCTTAAGTACCAATTCTCCTGGTGGTAAATGATGTTTTTAAACAACTGCTTTGAAAGTCTCTTGAGAAATCTTCATAGTGTTCCTTTCTCAAGTCTTGGATATAAAATAGTCACTATCAATGAATCTATTAAGATCTAATCAGCAGTAGTAGGGAAGCATTCTGTTTTCTCCCCAAATTCTGTGCATAGACTTATGATGGCAACTTCTACAGTGATACAAGATACTGGTAGGTGCCCTGTCAATGAAAGTCAGGGACTACTCTAAACTGAAAACTTATATACACATGTATATCTGAAATGAAGATTTGAAAAAGTCAAGAAAGAGGGGGAAAAAAAAAACCTAGATAATACACTGGAGCACAAAAGAGGAGCACACACAGAATAGCTATCTTTAAATGGCAGGATAACAAATCTGTTAGAAAGACTCATTAAGTAAATATTAAAAACAAGACTACCCAGGTTAGTGTGTTCATGGTGAAACAGACACATACTCATACACTGTTGGCAGAACTATAAACTGATTAAATCTTTCCTGGAAAGTACTTTATGGTATCTTATTATTTTTTTAAGTATTTTTAAAATCCCCTTATTTAATAAAGTACCTTAAAAGAACAATAAAAGATGCCCACTGAAATGTTATTTGAAATAAAAGAAAAAATGTGCCCCAGACATCTTATAATAAAATTATATATGATACACCCATAAAATTCAATTCTATGCACAATTCAATAATGATTATGAAGTTTTTAAAAATAACAATGAGAAATGGTTATGCTATAATACTATGTGAAGACAGATCAAAATCAGAAGTAATTTCAAGGATATGAAAGAATGTCCAAGAAAAAAAAAAGACAAAATATCTGAAATGTAGTATTACTGCTGTCATCTTTTGGTGGCAATTCATGGGTAATTTTTTTCTTACTGCTTAAAATTTGCACTTTCCAAATCTTTATTGTATAGGTATTGCTTTTATAATCATGAACAAGGAAAACATGCTTTTATCTCTTCTTGGGTTCACAAGCCATATCAAACAGGCTTCAGACAGGCTGAAGACACATTATCCCAGAGGTTTCCTGTTTCTGGTCAAGCAAACAATGAGCTCATGTTTTCACATATGGGACAAAATTATGAGAATTACCTCTTTTTTTCCAATGTGTGAGGGAGGCAGGGGAAGTAGAGATATGATCAGAACCTAAATGTTCCCCTTAATAGTAGGGAAATATAATTATGTGAGCTTCATTTCTAGGATTACAAAAATAGTACCAAGCATAGACAATTAAGCAGTAGCAAAAACTTAGATTTTTGATTTCTAATTCCCTACTCATCTATACTGAAAATTTTTTTTTCTAATTCTCAGAAGATGACTACTGTATCGTCAGTCTCATACTACAAGAGCTAAACTTATATGATGCTATGGGATATGGTTGAGTTTTTCCTTCCTTTTAGGGAGGAGGCATTTAGATTTTCCATGGCTATTATCTGGAAAACAATTCAATTATGTAATCTGAATAGAGACTAATGTACCATGTGCTTTAGGGGATATAAATATAAGCAAGATATATATTCTCCACATCCAAAATTTACAATCTAATTGGGGAGTAGAGGGGCCAGAGATACTGTGATGCAGAAATGTCTTGAAATGAGGAGACCTTTCTCTGTTACTTATTCACTGTGAGCATTTTGACAACTTAACATTCAATAATTAATTCAAAACAATGATGTATTACATATCTGATCAACGCCAGTTGCCCAAACCTTTCTAAAGGGAATGATGAGTAAATGGATTTCTAAAGAACACACAGAATTTTAGCCAGGCACTAAAGTTGGTGAAAGGTGTCTCTGTATAACATGAACAATGGTATTTTAAGGTCTTTAAGAAAAATAAAGGTTTTGGGGAAAGAACACATTTAGCTATTTAGATCAGGACAAACTTTACTAAGGGTTCATAATTACAGAGGACTTTGATGGGAGGGACGGGAATTTGACAAGTACATATGAAGTATATAGAGAAAGAGAACCACCCCAAAGGCAGTGGGAGGCAAAAAATCAGCCTAAGCAAAAGCCTCGAGGCAGGTAAGTTCAGTACACAATAAAGGACAGAGAGCAATACAGTCAGGGTGGAGTTTAGGTAAAAGAGATGAAAGTAAATAAGAGAGAAGCCTAGGAAAGCAGGTTGTGATCACTATAGGTCTTTACATCACACTGAGGAACCTGAATTTGATAGGCAACAAGAAACCACTACGGTATTCTTAGTAGTGGCATTTTAGATTTCTCAGATTTAAGAGTTCTAGAAGATTTGTTTGCTATAATAAAACCATCAAGTGTCTTGCTTCCTTTTGCTATAATTACCTCTGATTTTAAAGCATGCAAGTTAAAAAATAGAAGATTAGTATTTAAAAGAAATAGAAATTTAATAAATTGAACACTGCAGTTAAAATGTTAAACTTTTGGGCCTCCCCTGGTGGCGCAGCGGTTGAGCGCTGGGTTGCGAGGCTGCCCACAGCCTCTGCAGCGCCAGTTCAATCCTGGGCCACAGGCGAGGGTCCCACAAAAAAAAAAAAAGTTGAACTTTTATGTAGCACATTATCATAGAAGTTATTTTGAATGATGTGACTAAACTTTGTACTTTTTAAGGAACTTGTATGTTTATTAAAGACCTTAAGTTATGTTACCAGATATTTCCCCGTAGCTTTTGAAAGTCTAAAAATGGATGTAAATTCTTATCTATTAACTCCAAATTCAACTTTACACCTGTGATGCTAGGGTTTGGGCTCTGCAAATCACCTTTACTCTTTGCCCATAAGAAAGGTTGATTGGGGCTTCAGGGTTGAAGAAGATGCTTCTTTCCATCTGTATCACTTGATTTTCTTATTACAGTTCCTGTGAGCATCATCTCAGACCTGCTTTCTTCACACTAATATCTGCAGTTCCATCCTGTAAGCAGTTACAAAAGCCAGTTTTTGACCTTGCAGAACTAGCCTCATTGTGCAACTCACCAGACAAACCAGTATCAGTCCATCAATGCCTTAACCCCAGAGATCTGGGTGTTTCTCTCCATTAGTTCAGCCACATCAGCAGTAGACAATGTTCACTTTCTCAGAGGTCTGATCCACAGGGCTCTGTTTGCTAGTTTTAATAATTAAAACTTTCTTTTCTTTATCTCAGAGTATGGCTGGTTTTTACAATTGTTAACTGATATATTAGAGTTACTTTCTTGCCTTCCTAAGTTATCTGGTTAACAACTTTGTACTTAGATATCAATTCTTTATATTAAGTTTCCTCTGTTGAAATAACTGGTGTGATTTTCCAATCAAACACCAACAGAAACAACCATGGAATAGAAATTTAATAAACAGAAGCAGCAGTTCTCAAGCTCAAAAATATTAAATCTTAACATTAAGATAGAAATCCTTTTACGTGCATGGTTAAACACTACAGCAATGACAAAATGAGCACAGTAGTTTTTGAAGAGAAAGATAATAAAGAAAAAAATCCAGTAGTCGTGATTTGAAGGCAAAGTATAGCAAACTTGTAAATTGCTGTTACATTATCTTTACCATCATTGTATATACATTCTATGCTTTTTTTTAAAACTGTTTTTTAACTGGCTTCTGAAACTCAGTAGCTAATGTTTCACCCAACTATTAAAATGTGTTCATAGTTTATTGTACCTAAGACATTAAGCTAGAATACTAAGTTCTTTTCCTAACTTGGTAAACTTGAAGATGATATATAGCACTGGTCAGCTGGATCATGTGCCAAAAATAATGACACCTCTGTTTTTAATTTCAGGGATAGAAAGAAAACAGTGCCTGTTGCTAACATGGAAAAAAGTATGTGTTGGTTTAGGTAGCTAAGATAGTGAGATTAGTTTATAAATACACATTCCTTGGCAAAGAATTACTTATAATAAAGTACAACACTTGCCTAGGCACTGGATTTTATATGAGAAACTTAACTGTTATACCTGCCTATTGCTGAAACAGTGAACCAGAAAAAAAAAAAAAAAAAAAAACTTCAGATTCTTAGGTGAGAAAAATGTCAAAATAAATCTGTGAATATATTAATGTAACAATACTCATAATGCAAATTTTACAGGCCTAGGAGTCACCTAAACATGACTCTTGATTAAGAAAATAATGTGATTAGATTTGGAAGCATCTAGTTCTGTAATTTTATATTCAAAGCAAACATACATGATATTTTCAGGAAAGAATGTGAAATGTATTTTTTTTTAAAGGTGGTAGAAACCTGAAGGTAAGGAAACCAAAGGAAAAAAAAAAAAAAAACAGTTCAGGTAAGAGATAAGTCCTTAATATGAGTGCTGGCACTATATAGTTCACACATGCATGCTAAGGCATGTAGTGGTCCAATGGTGTACAAGTTGCACCTTGCATAAAGACACCCAATCAAAGGGACAGATGAGACACTAAAATCCAGTCCACATTTTGTACCAAGTGCTGCTGCATTTACTCAGAAGGGGGTCCTTTTCCAATTTGTCTGCTGGAATAGGGCATAGGAGTGAGTATCATTTTCTATTTCACACAAGACACCTATAGTTTTGCTTTATCCTGAGAATCCTGAGGATGAAGAAAGAAAAGCACATTCAAAACTCATCTAAAGATAATTGGTAAAATGAGGTAATTGGCTACATTGGGCAGTGGAGGAGGGGAAGAGTTGGAGATGCCTTTCAGTTTCTGGATTATTAACTTTCAGCAAGTATTAAAAGCATGTGGACAGTGTATTTGATGTGACTCTAGTTGATTCAGAAGATGATTAATTAGGAAGACAATTCATTAATTGACTCTGACTTACTGAGACAATGACTTTAAAAATCTAGAGATCACTTACTTTATTATTTTTTTTTAAAGATTTATTTATTCATGCATACAAGAACCGGGGTACAGGCCAGATTCGCAGGAGGGTGAGAGGATTCACCAGAGACAGAGCGGGGAACAGAACAGGCAGATTGACGAAATACACTGCTGAGGGGAACAGCAGGCGAGGCAGGAGAGGTCTGCCTTGCCATGTGGGAATCTTGGCAGCCAAGATCGAACTCAGTGCTGCAGAGGCTGCGGACAGCTTCACAGCGCTGTGCTCAAAGGCCTGCACCACCAGGGGAGGCCCAAGATCACTTACTTTAAATCTCATTTTATGGATGAGAAAATTTGAGTCCCAGAGAGATTATAACAGCATCCCTTAGCTGTTTCATGTTTTATTAGACTTGTGGTAGTCAAAATTTAGTGTGTACCATAAACACCAAGGAAGACTTGTTAAAATAAGTATGTTGAGCTCTCTCTCTGGAGTTTTCAGTAGAGATCTGAGGTTAGGCCCAACAATCTATATTTCTAACAAGGTTAGAGGTGATACCAATACTATTTGGGAATCACATTTTTGAGAAGAAACATTAATTAGCCTTAAGAGTCTGAGAGCTCCCCTAAAGGAGTTTATATCTTCCAGGCCTAAAAAATTGTTGGGAGCAACTGCTTAAAGCTTATAGATGAGTCAGAGGTTGAATTAAAAATCGTTAACTTCCATTTAAATAAATGAAATACTAAATTAAAATATATGTAATATTAAATATCACCTATTAACTATATTAAGTATTAAAGTTCGCCATTTATAACGACAGAATTTGAAGTGATGTTTGTGTTTTTAGTCCTAACAAAGGTATGTAGCTGTCTTTTTTTAATCCCTTCGTTCTCTTTTTCAAAAATTTAGTTATTTATATAGTTATTTAGTTATTACATAAAGAACAGGTGTCAGTTGTGTGGCTAAGTCTGTGCTGCTCTATATCCTAATTCATTAGTAAAGGGAAAAAAGACACATAAATAGGATTTCCCTTGTTACACTTTTTCAAACATACAGCTGCTCATCCTTGCCAAGCATGCTTTCAGAATAATTGCAAATTTTCTCAAACATACATTTATTATATAATGTTCCAATTTAATCCATTATGGAAAAAGAGTTTCTATTTATTTATTAAACTTTTTAATTTTCTTACATTGTTGTTCATATTGGTGCAGTATTTGATTTCTTCCCTCAGGTGTAGTCCTTGCAAATCTCCCACCACATCACCTATGAACCCTCACCATAGTCCCTTGTGCTCTTTCCCCCTCTCCCTGACCCTCCCCTGCTGTATGCCTAAGATCTATAATTTGCCTGCAAGTTTTGTCTTAGCTTTTAGACACTTTGTTTAGTTTCCCTATATTCCTCCTATAAGTGATACCATCCAATATTTAAAGAAACCACAATTTTAATGTCCTAGCTCACCAAAATTTCCATGTGAATTAAACACAGCAACATGGATTAGAGTTCAGTTGTATAATAAATTCAAACCCTTAAACAACTGCCTCAAAAAACACGACCTTATACAAGAAAATTAAGTGTCATGAATTTTAAAACTCTACTAGTAAGTCCATTAACTTTAAAAACAATGTTGTCCCAAAACAAATATTCCTAAAACTCCTGGTAAAGAAGTATAGGGCTACTCTGTACTCAAAATAATAAAAGGTGTAGAGGGAGGGGGAAAGTATAGGAAAAAAAGAGGAAAACTGGGATCTCTCAATGTATTTATAACTTCACTTTCTAGGCTATTTTCAATCCTGGCTACTCAGCAAAATCACATTTTGAGATGTTTTAAAATGAGGTGCTGAAGCTATACGTAACTCAAACCTACTATCCTAGAATATTTGGGGAGACAGGAGCAAATAGCTGCGTTTTTAAAAAGATCCTCTATAAATTAAGATGCACAGCTAGTCAGGCCGAGAACTATTTGGATTAAAGAAATACAGTACCTTGATTTGCTGTCTTCTTAGCATGGCAAGTTCTCTCATGTCTCGGAATGGCTGTAGTAAATACTGATAGAGTTCAGTTGTGGCTTCTGCAAGACTGCTGTAGGCTTCATCCTCCATCTGATATAAGTCCAGAAGCTCCACCATGCTCTCTGTATTCTTGTGCTTATCCAAGAGCTGCAGAACAAGAAATCCTATTATAATAAGTTTTAACACTTGCTATTAACTTCCTATTACAGCAAGACCTTGGAACTCTGAAACACAGAAACAAAAGTCAAGGATATTGCCTTTTATCACTCATCTCCATGCTTAGGTGTCATACTACTGAATATCACTACCTGATTCATCCCTTTCATATAGTTACTATTCTCTGTATTTTCTGGTACTCCATACCATCTGCTTAGCATGTCTTTAAAAAAGTTCTTGAAAATTACTTTTTAGTACCTAGTAGCTTTTTCTATACTGATAAAAATGTCTTTAATTTACAGAGCAGAATCAACTCTTGCCAATATTATTGTAATAATTTTCCCAAATAATCTTCATATAACTTCTTTCCAGCTCCCAATCTGAAATATTTCCTCAATAGTTCTGTCAACTCATGCTTATCACTTCTTTCAAAATGCAGGTGAAAAAAAAAATAAAAACTTTTTACTGAAGAGTTTTTAGACTGACTATGAGAAAAGTTTACAATTTTCTCACTGTGCATTCCCTGGTACTCGTTTATATTTGTGTGTGTATACATCCATTCAAAATTATGGGTAGAGTATCTAATATGTGTTCAGCTCTTGGGTAATAAGGAGCTGGAAATATAAAAACACGATCTCTGTCCTCATGGGAGCTCTGTATATCATAAATAAATAGAAACTAAGCTTGAATAAATTACAATCTGTGATAAATGTTATAAAAATTATTTTTAATGTTTTAAAAAAGCAAATAATAAAAATAACACAATAAAGTGAAGGAACACTGAGAAAGAGTAAGAGGTGGCAGGACAGTAAACTACAACCTAGTCTAGAGAGATGATGGAAAGAAAAGGCTATCCAAGGAAGCTTAAGCTGAAATTTAAAGAACCTTTGAAAGAACCACGTAGCAGGACAATTATTTTATATACTTATTCTTGGTGTTCATTTACCTGTAAACAGTCTCATCTTAGAAAGCACAAAATTCTGCTGTTCTTTTTCATAACTAAAGTTTCCACTATTACCTTCCTTCCCAAATTCTTACTTTAGTTACCATATTATATTACACACATTTTCATGCTGGATTTTAGACTTTGGATTAACTTCGTGCCCAGGTTTTTTTGGGCACAAAATACAGCAGTACCGAGGCATTTAGTATTTTGCCTACTACATCATTAACTCATCATAATAAATCAGATAATCTACATTAAAGTGCCTTTATAACAAAGAAACCCTATTTAAATATGAGTTATCATCTACTGTGTTAAGGCTATTGTAATTTCAACTTTTGCTGTTAATATGAAGAACTTTCACTTCCGGTCTTGGCTGAGTAGTTCCTATTAGGTCAATTTTCCCACAGATATTAACAATAAACCTTGGACAAAATATTACAAAACACTACTTGAAGGCACTTGTTCATTGGCCCCAAAAAGGTTAAAAACTGGAAGAGGCATTAACAACCGAAAGAAGGGAAGGTCCTAGACAAATTTTTATTCATGACTTCGGTCTAAGAGCCGGTCACAGTGACTGCCAAAGGAGAGAAGGTATGTGGCTAAAACAAAGAAACCCACAGTCTTGGTTTCACTACATGAAACCTGATTCTTTTGCTCTGATTCTTGAATGATCAGAAGAAAGAGTCTAGAAAGTAAGCGGGAGGCCTTGGGAACACATATAGTCCCCAGTGAGAGGCAGGGAACAGCCCTTCACTGGCAACCCCACCTAACCTCAGGAAGACCCATTGAACACCAGCTCAGCTACCAGGATCTCAAGGGAGATGCAGGTCCCAGTCAGTTCAAATCCAGGCTGTGCACAGCACTGCCTGATAGCAGTGACCCCGCTTTTTAAGTGCCCCAGCCCAGTGTGGAAGAGGTGGAGACAAGCCTGGCGGTAAAACCCACAGCAGTGAGGTCCTAGAAAAAAGGGGGGAGGCAAAATGACACAAAGAATAGCAGCAGAAACCTAAAGGGGACTATAACACCACATATGGAGAATTTATCTCCAGAACCTAACCACAAAGACAAGGAAGACATAGAATTCAAGAATACTATCATAAAGAAACTTGAATTTGAAGAACGCAGAGTACATGCAGAAAAGCGGATCAAGGATATACAACAAAATTAAAAAATAATGAAACCTGAATACCTCAGAAACACAATCAAAGAACAGAAGCTCAAAAATGATATCTAAAGAAAACCAAACAAAGGGTAAAAAAAATTTAAATATTGTACAAAAATGAACATGTAAGAATAAAAAAGTTTAATCAATAAAAAAAAAAAACCAATAGAAAACAAACCCCCCCCCCACAAAAATGAAACCCTAAAGAAAGAAATGAAGGACTTGCAGGACGAAAAAAAATTAAAAGATTAAAAGTACTATAAAAATCAACAGAAGTAAAATAAACCAAATGGAAGAGTGAAGCGGTGAACCTGAAGATATGAATTTACCTAAAGAAGCAAAATGAAAGAAGAAAATAAGAGATGAAGTAAAAAAAAAAAAAATGAAGAAACACTCCATGAACAATCCAATACCATGAAGAAAGACAATGTAAGAATAAGGTGCACCCCAGAAGGAGGAGACAAAAAGGAACACAGAACATATTTAAAGAAATAAAAGAAGAAAGCTTCCCAAAGCCTGGTAAAGGAAATTAAGACACAAATCCAGGAAGCTAAAAGAACAATAGGATACATAAACAAAAAGAGATCAAGACCAAGTCATAGAGTGGTCAAACTTCCAAGAGTTCAAGACAAGGAAAGACTATTGAAGTTGGCAAGGTGGGTGAAACAGATAACCTACAAAGAAACACAGATCAGGCTAACATTAGAATTCTCAGAAGAATCACCATAGGCAAGGAGAGAATGGAAAGATGTGATCAAAAAATTTAAAGATAAAAACTACCAATGAAGAATACTATATTCTACAAGGCTCTCCTTTGGCTACAAGGAAGAAATAAAGGTCTTCTCAGACAGAAAAACTGAACAATTTGTAAAAACTAAACACTCCCTCCAATAAATACTGAAAGAAACTCTAGAATCTACACCCATTAGAGAAACACACATCATGAACTGAGAAATTAGGTACAACCACAAAATTAAAGACAAAAAGTCAGTAACAGACTTTCATGTATCAATAATCACTCTAAATATTAATGGGCTAAACTCATCAATTGAAAGACACAGATTAGGTTGGATTAGGAAACAATATCCAACTTTCTCCTATCTCCAGGAGACATACTGAGATCTAAAGATAAACTCTGGCTCAAGGTAAGGGTTTAAAAAACAATTCTACAAGTGGATGCCCAAAAAAGGATGAGACAGCCATATTAGTATCAGATAAAACAGATTTCCAGTTAAAAAAGGGCAACAAGAGATAGGAATTGATAATTCATAATAATAAAGAGAACAATACATCAGAAGGATCTAACAATCATCAGCATATTGTCACCAAATGAAGGGGCACAAAAATATATTAGGCAACTATTATCAAGTCAGAAAACAAACACTGGAAAAACCACATTTGTGGTACAGGACTTCTACACCTCAGTCTCACTAATGGACAAATCTGAGACAAAAAAATTAATAGGGACATAATAACTTTTAACAAAAAGTAGACCAAATGGACCTAATAGACACGTAAAGGACCCTGCACACCAAAAACAGAATATACATTTTTTTTCAAGTACATATGGGTCATTCTCCAGGATTGACCACATGTTGGGGAACAAGAATAATATCAATAAATTCGTGAAGACTGAAATCATAGGTAAAGTTAGAAATCAAGCACAAAAAAGAAAGCAGAGAAAACCTCTAATATGTGGAGACTGAACAACACACTACTAAAAGAACACTGGATCAATGAGGAAATAAAGAAATCAGAACATACCTCGATACAACTGACAAAAACACAACCTTCCAGAATGTATAGGAACAGCAAAAGCTGTACTAAGAGGGAAGTATATAGCAATACAAGCCCATATTAAGAAACAAGAAAGAGTTCAAATAAACAACCCTGTCTCTCACTTCAAGGAACTAGGACAAGAAAACAAACAAACAACCAGAAGCCAGTAGAAGAAAATAACAAAAATTAAAGCACAAATAAATGAAGCTGAATTAAAAAAGATAGTCAAAAAAAAAAAATCAATGAAACCAAAAGTTAGCTCTTTGAAAAATATAAAATCGATAAACCTCTAGCTAGGCACACTTAAAAAAAAAAAGGAGCAAATTCAAATAAATATGATTTGAAATTAAAGAGAAGAAATTACAACAGACACTGCAGAAATTCAGAAGATAATAGATTATCATGAAAATTTATGTAGTAAACAAATTCAACAACTTAGATGAGATGGAGAGATTCTCAGAATTATACAATCATGCAAGACTGAATATGGAAGAAATAGAAAACCTGAACAAACCAATAACGCGCAAGGAAATTGAAACAGCAATCAACTCTCCCGAAAAACAAAAGTCTAGGGCCAAACTTTCTATCAGACTTTCAAGATGAATTAATCCTATTGTGCTCAAGCTCTTTCAAAAAATTGAGGGAGAAAAAACATTTCCACAATTTTATGAGGTCAACATTATGCTAATACCAAAATCAACAGTGTAAAGACAAAAAATTTTTCCAAATAAATGAAAAGAGAACTCATCATCAGTAGACTGACAGTATAAAAAATGGGAATTTCTTACAGATGCAGAAATCCTCCAGTAAACATTAGCAAATTATATCAACAGCAAATAAAAGGACCAAATGTTGTTTTTCTCCAAGTACAGAAGACTGGCCCAAAATTTAAAGATCAATTTATATAATCAATTACATCAACAGGCTACAAGAAAATCATATTATCAGTAGATGCAGAGAAGTATTTGACAAAATCCTATCCTCATTTAAAATAAAAACTCTTAGCAAACTAGGAATAAAAGGGAACTTCCTCAGCTTGATAAAGAACATCAACAATATACCCAGAACATCCTATAAAATGTGAGAACCCAGACGCTTTACCAC